AACGAAAGGTAGGTCCAATCTGGCCTGAAGAATTACCAAAGATTAATCAATATATATAATAACCAAAATATATATTATAACCAAATATATTATATATATATTAAAATCAACAAAAATGAGTAAGTAATAAGATTTTTATACGTGCGATTGCACGTAATTACGAATGATAAAAAATGTTTTTTGTGTCTGTATTATAGATAGTACTACTAATTTTCATAGTGCTACAGATAGTACTATAGTACTATCTGTAGCACTATGAAAATTCGGGTGGGTAAGAATTTGGGTGGGAATTTTATTATTCTATGAAATAATTTTCTATATATGATACTATATAAAATCTATAACACATAGTAAAATAAAAATAAAAAATATATAATTATTATATCATTCATATCTGATTATCGAGAGCAAGCGTAGTATGTAGTATGTATTATGTATGGTAGGCAGCGAACTGGTCTACTATGCTTAGAGATCCCGATTCTCGGCAGAATTACGAATGTTTTTCATACGCGTCTCCTCTTCGGCGATCTGGCAAAGTATCTTTGCCATGGAAACCCTCTCTCAATTAAGCCGTTTCGGATTCGGCATAAAATTGTAGGTCCTGTATACAATCTGCGTGCGCACCACAGGTATACACGGAAAGAACACTTTTGCTGGCAAATCTAAAAATTGGATCAGATACAGATCTGAAAATAATTTTGTTGGCCCATCAAAATTATTTTGTAGAACACTTAAATATGATGATAATACTGCAAAAATGTTTGATCTTGTAACAATCAATTTGAACATCGTATATAATAATAGGGTAGATAATGAAAAGGGTATATAATAATTTTGGCCCAACAAAATTGTTTTCAGATCTGTATCTAGCCAAATTTTTAGATTTGCAAAAATGTTTTTTCCGTGTATGTAAACGAGAGAGGTAGGTCTAGGCCCGACTTGGGCTGTAGTGCCATTGGAATGAGTATCTGATTATTGTATTCTACTCTAATTTATTATTATAATTGCGGA